ATGGAAAATGCAACTTTATTTCATGAGATAGAATGTAAACACTAAACAAATCAAAATGTCTGTAAAGCATCTCACTTCTGGGATTACGAATATATATAAATCTACTGTCTTCTAGAGAATCTCAGTCAAAAGGTAATTATAAACTAATCTCTCAACCACTTAAAAGTTCAGCAGTAGATACAAATTATGAGAGTCTAATTTGTGCTTGTTTGTTTTGTCACAAAGACCGTGTAATTGTAAGTGTACGCTCTAAAGAATGCAATTCTTCCAAAACAAAATATAGCAACGAAGCTAAAGTATCCAGCCTCAGTGTGACTACATTTAAAAGTGGGTCATTATTTAATCCACTTTTCCAAGGCCTATGTTGTCCTTTAATTTGTTTTTCATTTCTAAAACATATAGGCAATGAAACCTTCGACTTCGGGAAAGTATATAGTACCCAAGGAAAACAACTACCCACAGTTGACACAATCGAACACCAAAATCCGGGGTTTAATCCCCGCGATGGATACAGCAGATAGCCCAATGTGGCTTTTCTCTAAAACAAAAATACAATACAAATACAAAATACTAAAACTGACACAATCTGCAACAGCTCCACCTATTAGCTCCTTCCACTTTTGTGTATTAAAATCATTACATTTAGTTAAATCATACTTTTATACTTCAATTTGCATATTAGTAATTATTATATATTTCTTGTTTCCCAGACTTTATTTCGTAATTTTATTCTCAAAACCATGATTAGCAGTTTTTATTATCAGAATTATATTGGACAATTCTTATTCTTTGGTCTATATTAAACAGTTTTATTTTTTCAAGCTATATTTGGCAGTTAGTATTACTTGAGCAACATTTAAAAGTTGTTTTTCTCCCATCTAAATTCAATAGTTCGTATTTTTCAAAGTATATTTGTCAGCAATATATTTAACACATTTAAGCTCAAACTTTATTTAGTATTTTTAGAAGTTAGATCTGTATTAAGCAGATTTTCCCTAGTTTTCGAAACTATCTTTGGCAAACCTCATTGTCGAAATATCATTTAGCATATGTTTCTTCTGAGAACTGGCTAATTAATTTGGAATTACAGACACCGTGGTTATTAAAATATTTCCTTTTATAGCAAAAATCCATGACTTACTTGATTTTCCGCCCCCAGTAGCACAGAGGTATGTCTGCGGACTTACAACTCTAGAAACCGGGTTTCGATACCCGTGGTGGGCAGAGCACAGAAAGCCCATTGTGTAGCTTTGTGCTTAACTTCAAACAAACAAGCCCGGCATGGCCAGGTGGATAAGACGCTCGACTCGCAATCTGAGGGTCGCGGGTACGAATCCCCGTCCCACCAAACATGCTCGCCCTTTCAGCCGTGGGGGCGTTATAATGTGACGGTCAATCCCACTATTCGTTGGTCAAAGAGTAGCCCAAGAGTTGTCGGTGGGTGGTGATGACTAGCTGCCTTCCCTCTAGTCTTACTCTGCTAAATTAGGGACGGCTAGCTCAGATAGCCCTCGTGTAGCTTTGCGCGAAATAAAAAAAAAACAAATCAAACAAACAAACATACTTGATTTCCCAGGTGTTGTTAACATAGTTTTTATTCTCATTAATATTTAATTATTAGAGCATTCGTTTTAAAAACTACTCCCAATAAGACATTTGTAAATAAAATGAATACAATTTTTGGAACCTTCCCAGATTAATTAATTTTTTTTAAATGTTATTTTAAACAGTGACACTTGTCGGCCAGACTTGTACCAAATAATGACAGAAGGGTAAATGAGTATTTATTTTACGAAAACGTATATTTTTAAAGCTTGTTATGAAATAACATTTATATTCGTTGACAATTATATAACCTGAACTTTAGTTTGAAATATTTAAATGTACTTAACGTGACAAAAAAAAGCACTTCTCCAATATATACTTTCATTAGTATGATAGTTTACAGCCTCTTCAAGATAACACTCTTTTTATTTACTCACTTGTAGGAGGCCTTGACTTGATGATTAGTTATTTTGTAAAGTATTCCATGCAAGGTTAAAGGCTCGTTGTTCTGGGAACCTTGATTCTTGTGAAGGTGAAGTGTAAGCATTCCTCTCTTCAGTTTCTCCAGGCAAGGTCTTCTAAAGAACAGGTTAATAAGACTTATTTCATGATGTTTGTCCTGCCTTAATTCGTTGAGAAGAAAGATTGTTACGTTTTCTAGATGGGTATGTTTTCCGTTCCGTTTATCTAATGAATTCAGTCTAGGAAATATTGTGGCAACAGTTTGATAACCTCAGTGTAATATAAGTTACTTAAGGGTATTATTCCATAGTAGTTTATTGTGGCAACAGTTTGATGACCTCAATGTAATATAAGTTCCTTAAGGGTATTATTCCATAGTAGTTTATTGTGGCAACAGTTTGATAACCTCAGTGTAATATAAGTTACTTAAGGGTATTATTCCATAGAAACCTCAGTGTAATATAAGTT